TATATATATATATATATAGTATATGTATATGCACAATGTACGTACGTATATGTATATTTCTCTAGATATACATATATACATGTGCATCTACAAGTATGATGTATAATTACAAATGTATAAATATCCTATTACGCCATGCGATGGCTTTTATAATAAATTCTAATTGCTTTTTGTCATAAAGCTGCTCTTTTTAAATTACACCATATCAGTTGCTGAGACCCGTTGACATCACAGTCCGCGATCTCCCAGAAACGCAATCGATACTCCTTGCGATTCGTCAAAAATGTCTTCAATACTATATAAGAAAAGTTCATATTATGTATAAATACAAATATTAATATGTTGAAACTGGATACTCACTTCTCAACATTCCGCTGGAGATCGGCTTCGAAAAACCGATATCTTCGTTTGGGAAACGTGCGATTACATCCGATAGGATTCCTGTACCGAAACCTCGATTCCTATATTCCGAACGAATATACACCGAATCTACTACAGGCATTATGTATCTCTCTTTCATCGAGAATATTTCTGTACCTATACGGACAATTAAGAACATTCTTTGTATTCTCATTTAAAATTTTTTTAACATCACATAATTACCTATAGGTTTAACGGTATAAAATCCGATCGCTTTGCCTCCTTGCCATCTTAGTAAAATGACATCGGACTCGTCTACCAGAGTATACAACGACTCATATTTTTCCGGTCGTGGTGCGTCGAAATTTGGATAAACGATTTGGCTCAGTATATAAAAAAGCACTTTATCACGATCCGTTTGGACCTCCCGCCATTCATTGTCGAGTCGATCGCAATAAGCATCATCAACGTTGATTATCTCGTCATTTAATGTTACAGCTACGAAGTGAGTGCTATCGATGCAGTCTATGCGGTGGACGTCGCCCTGAATGTTCAAACTCCGTAGATCGAGTTGAATCGTTTTTGTTCGTACATATTTTTCGCATCTACGATCACATTAGTGTATTAGTTGTAAAAATATTTTTTTTATATGAAAGTGCGAGTAACAACAGCAAGTAACAATTTGTGTTTTACAGATGAAAATCGAGGGAAATTCTTGCGATGAAAATTACTATTACGTAATCGACTAATTTTAATATTGACAACGCGGCCAAACTAATCAGATTCTGAAACAAGTAACGTGAATTCGTAAAAAATAAGTTGATTCATCACCTTGAACATATCATTTTGATTAGACGGAACGAAGACGCGAGTAATAAGAGAGAAATATTCGACTAAATTGCCCTACAAAAAAGTGGAACTTATTAACTGATAAGAATCGTAATTCAGTTATCGTTCTTGGACTGCTTTATCGGTGAAGTATGCGCATGTGACAAGTGGAATTTACAATTGCAATATACGCCACGTGGCAAACACTTCTCGAATTCGACACGGAAATTTACGTACGTGATTTACAAATAGATTATATTGATTTCGTAGCACAAGAAATAAAAATCGTGTTTTCTCTATGTAACTAATACATAAGCTAAATGTAACTTGTTCTCTAAGACAGAAACATGAAAGTGAAAATTTTTTTCGTGAAGGTAATGGAGAAATTTATCACTTTTCTCATTTCCGCCTTAGAGAAACAGTTACAAGATATCTGTTCTTTTTACCTGAATCTCTTGAGTTATCTTTTTTCTTTTTCTCTCCATGTTAGAGAACAAAAAAATGAACAAAAAATTTAACTAAAAAAAAGATCTGTTTTTTTAGCTGCACTCCAATTCATCTTTTCTCTTTTTTTCCAATGTGAAAAGAAAAATAGAAAAGATGAATCGAGCAAAAAACTTTATTTAAAAAGGATAGGCTAAGGACAGACCTATGATCCCTACTCAGGATTAGCGATATATTAAAAAAAAATGACCAAAAACAGAATTTCTCTTATTTAATTAAAAAAAATTATTTAAAGAATTTAAAATTACATTGCCATTGAATTACCAGCTGAAAATCAATTAGGGAAGATCATTAATGCTTTTAAAAAAAAAACCATTTATTTTCTATGATTATAGATATACATTACTTAAATTCTTGCAAAATTAAAATTTCCTGCATTAATTGTACAATATGTCATCTCCCTTCGTAATTTTTGAGTAATTTTATAAATTATGGAAATAATTAGGAAGTAATTATTATTTTGTGATAAGGTATTATTTCTAATTGCTCGATACGTTTGCGACCGATAAGAGTCGGTCGAGTACGATTACATAAGATCGGTTGAATGCTCAGATCATACGTAATTTTATGCACAAGTGTAAAATATAAGGGCATTCGGTCGTTATTATCAAAAGATAAAGAATTATATTCTTGTGCTCTTTTATTATATGGCCAGAGACAATTAACTTTTTTAGTATAGATTACTAACTTCTATGTGTGATTTTTTTTACGATATGATTATATTTATAATCGACGAGTTATATTCTAACTATCTTTATTCTTTGCGTGAACTTTAAAATCTTGTATTTTGTTTCAATAAGACAACGATAGAAGTTAAAGAGTTCTATGCTCTCATGAATTGTGTCCGAATCTTTACATTACATATATAATTCAACATTTATTAATTGTAAACGTCTATACATTATAGGTATAAAACTCCAACAATACGCAAGATTCCTGATTGCAATTTAGAAAGTCCACTATATCGCTAAGCGAAGAAGATAATAAGATTGAAATAGAAATATGCCTTATTGAAGAATTTTCATCGTCTGATTATAACATTCAGTTGAAAAAAAATCCTAGATAAGTGTGCAGATGGCAACGCAGTGGTGTAACTAATCGCGGGCCGTGAGGGACACGAATGACACGATGGAAATTGACAGATTGCATTTTCTTCTCGCTTTTCCTCTCCAAGACATGCGCATGTCCGTTTTGATTCTATTGCAGATAACGCCAAGATATCTCTCGTTGATAGACGATAGCATGGAACATATCATACATTCGTCTATATACGCCCACGCGCTTAGTACATCGCGCAGTTGGAGTAAGTGGACACCCGTGTACACCAACACATTGAAAGCAAAGAGCTGATCCCAGGACTCCCAGGGTCCGTCAATAGTGACGCGCTGACGTTGGGAGAGTGCGCACAGTACAGCCAGTGCAGTCGCGCGTTAGCTGGACGACGCGGAAGGAATACGCGCTCGCTTCAATGTCGTCTTCGTCGCAGCTCAGTGAGCACGACGCCAATTATCAACGATTCAACAACGATACAAACCAGCCGCTCGATCAGGAGATTACTAATGGCTCGAATCGACGTAAGTCTCCTTAAAACATTCTCGTTGACCTAAATATATCTAAAGTTCCTGTATTCTGCAATAAAAAAATGGCTACAACGTTATGAATTGCGCACTGTTGACAGGAAGGATATTGCTTTTGAATGACTGTCTCTTTTGAACGAGACAAATCGATGTTCTACTTGAGACTCTTTGTTGACAGCACATAGTCGTGTAAAAATAATTTTTCTTTAACAAATATGCAGATTTCGCTTTATATTTGTGAAATTTTATTAATTTATGAAAGTATTTTTATTGCAGTACTTTATTATTTGTCAAGAAATTTTTATGATTTTCTTTTAAAGGTATGTTATGATTATTGAGATAATTGCAGATTTTTTTTTGCAGAATATGGTTCCATGCTGTCCTCACCTTCTTCAGGAAGTCATATAAGATCATCATTTGGCAATGCTAACAATACTAATCAACTGAATTATAAGTGCGAAGCGAGTCAAACTGAAAGCATGACCGAGAATACAGTGTTCACTACGTGTGATGTGCATTGGAAAATGCATTGGGAAATGAATTGTCGTGAAGCTGCAATATATTTAGAGGTAATTATATATTGATTTTCAAGTCTTATCTAAAATGATAATAATTAACAGAATGCAGAGATTACATATCTACTAAGCTTACGCATATCTATTCCGCTTGCGGCAAATTGAGTGGCCAATTATTTTTTTCAAGGATACCTATTGTATGCTATAGTACATTATATTCTGCAACATTACTATATAGTTATTAGGTAATATACAGAGATGTATATTTCTCACATTATAAGTATTTCACAAATGAACAATATTGCATTGATATGTAAGATGTTAAGTATTACCAAGTTATAATTTATTGATAATCAAGATTAAAATATGATATATTATTTTTATCATTATCATCAAAGTGATTATTGTTTCAGGAAGGCAGAAACAATGAGAAATTTGATTCTCATCCAAGGCATCCTGAAGATATGCCGGCGTATTTCTTAGTCCATAACAATTGGTACAATGGATTGGATTTACTGATTTCGTTAATTCTCTTGTCTCTAGCATTTGTAGAAGAGCCTGCTTTGCCGCTATTCAAAGTATTCATGCATAGATAACGGCATATCACTTTCTTTATCGATATCTTTTATGTATATGTTTTGTCGTAGGTACCAGTATGGGTACATGGCTCAGTAGAATTACTTGCGTTAATTACTATCGGTGTGCAATTGACTTTAAAGCTGAGATGGACTGGCTGGGCACCTATGTTAAAACACAAACGTACAATGTTAAAAGTAAGATACTTTTACTGGAAATATTTCTACATAAATATTTCTATATTACAAATGTTTGAAAAAGCAGAATACTGCATCATAGTTTAGTAACGTGTTTACGAAGGTGTCTTCGTAAACACGTGTGTGAGAAAAACGGATTATTCATATAATCGGATTATCCAAAAGTTGCTCGTTCTTACACTTGTGGCTGATCATTATTATGCAATGATATAGAGTATCAGACAGTGTATTTATTAACGATCAACGACCGCATTGTGATGAGTAATGGTTACTGCAACGGAATATGTAATGATTTATTAGCTTACTTACATAATGAGTTTTGGAATTAGTGCAATGTCAGACGCGTCGCAATATTCCTCATAAAATTTAAATGAATAGAGAATGACGATTTGAAATGATTATGAAAAATGTAACAGCTGCCGATTATGGAGTTAGGTTATTGACTTCTTTCGAATATTCTTATTCATAATAATTTCTATTTCAGTGTATTACATTAGCAATCATGTTTCTCGAAGCTATGACAGTTCTAGTACGGCAATCCTCACATGTTCGTGTAACGCGCGCCCTTAGACCGATCTTTCTAATAGACACGAAATATTGCGGCGGTGTAAGGAGATTCATAAGGCAAATACTTTTTACGCTACCACCTATCTTAGATATGCTGGGTCTTCTTTTTTTCTTGATTATTGTATATACCGTATTGGGTTATTATATGTTCTGTGAAATAAACGGACATTTCGCCACAATGCAAGATAGCTTCGTCAGTCTGTTTGTTCTTCTTACCACTGCCAAGTGAGTAGATACAATCTGACAATATAATTAATTTAATAATGATTAATTTAATATGATTTATCGACAACGCACTTTGTAGCTTTCCGGATGTAATGATGCCATCATATTCCCAAAATAAGTGGTACGCGATATACTTTGTATCTTATTTGTGTACCATGTTGTACGTAATGATGAATTTAATGCTGGCGGTGGTAAACGAGACATTCACATCTTGCGAGCGCGATAAATTCAAGAAATTGTTCCTGCACAAAAGGAAAGCGTGTCAACATGCTTTCGAACTCTTGGTTTCCAAGCAAAACCCTGATAAGATACGATTTCGTCAATTTGAAGGATTAATGCGATATTATGCTCCGAATAAATGTATGTATACAAGATTTTTTAATCAACTTTAGTACTATTTCTTTGTCAACGCGCATATAACTCAAATTTCATACAAAACTCTAAAAGTAATAGAAATAATTTTATATCTACAATAATATATGATTTTTGTAGCCATATGTGACATTGTTTTAATGTTTTGTCATATGAATAAAACGGGAAATGGCGCTCTAAATTGCGAGGAATTCTTATCGATTTATGACGCCAATACACTTCAATGGTCCTTGCAATATTCTGATGTACCATGGTACCGCACTCTGTGGTGGCCTTTGCAAACGCTATGTAAAGGAGCTAATGCTATGATCAAGTGGTCTTATTTTGAAACTTTGGTGTGTAAGTATAATATGTGTAAATAATTTTATATATAAGAATGCCTTGTATTTCATCATTTGTAATTTTACAGATATGATCATTATCGGTAATTGTATCGCCATGATAATAAGAATCTTTGAACCGAATAACTGTCTTGAAAAATCGGTGCACGCGTTCGCTGCGTGTTGGGATACTCTGTTGTTCGCTGAACGTGAGTAAAAAAAAATAATAATCTCTTAAAATGAATATCTTAAAATGTAAAAAAATCTGTAATTAAAATATGTAAATAAATTTACAGTTTTTATTGCTGAAGCATTCATAAAAGTATTAGCTCTTGGTGTTCAATCTTATCTGAGCTCTGGATGGAATCTCTTTGATTTCGGGACAACAGTAATGACCAGCGTCGCTATGTGCGCTCTTATGATATTCCCATCGGCTACATTTCTGGTTTTGTTCCGACCTCTCAGAACACTGAGATTATTTAAGATTAAGAAACGCTATCGAGATGTTTTCGGCACTCTCGTAATTCTGTTTCCTCAGATGTGTTCGACTGCGATTGTTATGCTGGTCTTGTATTATTTTTTCGCGATCATTGGAATGGAACTGTTTGCCGGATACGATATGCGCGATTGCTGCCAGTTAGTATCAAATCAATAATTATATATTTTTTCTCTTAATTTTTTAATATATAAATCTAATTTTATTAAATATGTTCAATAGGGACACGCCTATTAAAGATTTCTATCGGTACTCTGTCAATGATAGCTCGGAGTTGGGATATTACTATCTTAACACTTTTGACAATCTCATGGCGAGTAGCATTACACTTTTTGAATTAACAGTTGTTAATAATTGGTATGTACAAATGGATGCATACGCATTTACTGCGGGCATGTATACAAGGATATACTTTATGATATTTTATCTGGTGACTATGATCGTACTGACTATTGTGGTATCCAGTTTCTTAGAAGCTTTTCGATTTAGGATACAGTATAAAAAATCAACTTCCAAGCATGACGGTAATAAATATATACTTAAGCAATAGAGATCTTTTTCGTCAATTTTATAATTTTTTTTAATTTTTAGAAGAAAAAATGCTTCACGAAAAAGTGGAATTAAAATGGAATGAATTGCAATGCATAATCGAAGACTTTCAAATTTTGGAAGATCTACGCAACTCTTTGGTTGTTGGAGGAAGCACTTTCTTCATTGGTTCACGGCCACGAACGCGAGAGGTTTTACAGAAAAAGATGTATACATATGAAATAAATGAATGGATAGCCGAAGCAAAATCCGAAGAAAAGCAACTTACACCTAATGTAACACATAATGTGGAAGATGGAACCAACGATGGAGGCATTTCTGACACCGATCATCTTATACTAAACGGCAGTTTGCGTCATCAGCAAAATGATAGTATACCTATTCAGTAAATTAAATTTTTGACTTAGACCATTTTGAAGATTAATTTATATAAATATCTCGCTTACATTTGTGTAAGTGCATTTATCAACAACGTAGCTTGTTTAAACATTAACGAATATATCTTGATAATAGGAAAAGCTAATGTTTATGCACATATTGAAAATTTTATTTTATACACGGAGAGAATTTTTTTTAATTTACCCTGAAAATGTGGTAGTTGGTACAATACAATATTAAAAAAATTTTTACCATGCACTTCAGTAAAATTGATCAAACTTATTTTATATTTTATTATAATTTTATTAATAAATGAGAGAAATTTATATAAAATTCTTTGAAGTACAATGTCCCAGGACTATTTTCAAGCTAAATTCTAAAAAAAAAAAATTTCTCCGTGTAATGATCGATAGAATTCTAAAAGATGCAATTATAAAATTTTATCGCAAACGAATAACTTCCTTTATAGATTTTGATATTACAACTAGTCATAAATATTATGAAGATTCATTTTTAGAAAATAATTATTTCTTGAACTCACGTTAATGCATTACATAGTGATAATAATTTATATATGCGGCAAATATAAATATATTTTGATTCTAATTATTACAAAGTATATTATAAAAAATAATGTTGTATATTGGATCATATCATTTTGATATTATTTTTATACAGATGATAAGCAACGTTGTCTTCGTCATTCTATAAATCGTATTGCAAAAAGCTTAATTTGATTAAAATAAATCGCTAGGGCGAACTCGAAGATCGCGGGATTCGGAGGAAAATGATCTTAGCTATATTTATTAATTTTTTTTCTTATAAATGAATTCCAATTTACAAAATTTAATATTTTAATTAAAAGAATGAAGCAAATATATTCTTTCATCTCGAGTCAATTTTGTATGATGCTAATACGATGTGTAGACATATCTAATATTGTTATGTATTATTAGCGTGAAAGAATGTTTTATTGTTATTTTTCTATTTTTAATGTGATAATTCGTGTGTTTATTTAACAAATACATATTTTATTTATGTGTATACAGAATATTATATATAAACTTATATTTTTCTCTGTTCTTCCACAAAGAATGTCATTGTATAATTATTTTAATTCATATTTAATTACTAATATATATAAATCATTTATTCCAAATTAATGCTCTATTTTCACTCCGCTACCACCTAGCTTGATTATCGTGACATCGAAATCATTTTCCTTTAATTCTTTTGAGAAAAGATCGATGGATTCGTTTTCAATGTCTGGCGGCAGCAAAACGTATGCATATCCACCTCCACCAGCACCCGTAAGCTTTGCTGCATATGAATGCGTAAATGCCATTGCACAAATCATCTCTAATCTTGGATGTGTCACATCTAATGAAATTAGTAATCCTTGATTCATATTCATAAGAACCTGTGAAGTAACATTAAAAGATGGTTACAATTTCCAACATATTACATATGAGTTTTAAAAATATTATAAAAAATATATAACAAAATGACATATTGAAGTTCACAAACACAGATGACATTTACCGATAACTTTTCAAACCAATAATCTTCCATAGCTTCTGTAGCTTTATCGGCGATTTTGTTCATTTCTGTAAATACTTCCCAAGCATTTTGCGATACATCACCGATACAATCCAAAATAGGATTGATGATGTCAGGATATACATTCTTGATACGCGCTGCTCGTTCGACTTGATCTTTTGTACTCCGAATAATATTCGTATTAACCAGTAAAATTTTCAGATTCAACATATGTGGTAACATGTCCATCAACTTTTTCTGTTGAAATTTTATTACCGAACCGTATGTGCACACGCTATTGTCGATTCCGGACGGAGACTCGTGCATAATTTTCTCACAGTTTAGAGCGTATTTTGAAATCTTATCGAGCTCGTCCTTGTTAAATGTACAGTGTTGATTGCCCTTCTGTAGAATCGACCAATGTAGAAAACATGCTGAAAGACATACTGCGAATGATGCTGAACTGCCCAGACCAGTGCCAACTTTTAATTCCGTGGATAAATGCACGTGTAAGGAAGTTTCTTTCACATTGATACATTCTTCATAAGCGATATAAACGAACAAATAAAAGAACGCTTGTAAACTTAATTTCTGTTCCTTGGTAATTTCATTGTTGCTCTTGTCTGTTGAATCTTTTATCAAATCGATAAAATCACTCACACAACTATATAATTGATTATTTTTTTTGACCGATGGATAATCGAAATTATCACTAAAGAAGTGGTTTCGAAATACGTAAAAAGGAAAACTAAAAGATAATTTGATATCAGGAAACTCTATCTTAATGATGTTCCTTAAATATTGTGATCTACACCGTTCAGTGAATTTAACAGTGGTACGTAAGTTTATGCTACTCGCCACAGCAGTTCTTCCGTACACCGCCGCATGTTCTCCGAATAAAATGATCTTGCCCGGTGCAGATATTTTGAACTCGATCATTTTTCTTACGATTAAAAATTTTTTTATCTGAGAAAATGATATAACACTGAATATATTGGATCTGTTGTAATAGATTTCTATTAGAAGTATGTAATTATTTAATGGATGATCCAGGAAAAATCATTCATATAAAAACTTTTGAATCTTTTATGTTGTGTTAAAAGTAAGTAATACTAGCTTTTCATCAATTCGTTATTAATTTGCTATCCATAAAAGAAATTTAACATTCGACAGTTAACTTTTTGTTTTTTCCCATTGTTCTGATGTTAAAGTTGTTAGCGAAATGGCATGAATTGTCTTCAGTTCTTCTTCTAGAACTCCATACACAAGCCTGGATTACAAAATTTTAATTATTGAAACTTTGTATCATGAATTTTATTAAGAAATTTAAATGAGAAAACATTAAAACTGATGTATAATTTCAGAATGATGTGTTACCTGTGACGTACCAACAACGGCTTTCCTTGGAATAAATCAGAAACGACAAATACTGAAAATTTCGCACCACAACCGTCGGATTGATCCACTACTTCCTGTAACACACAATGCACTGCAAACAATATCTTTCTAAACCCCTCAACGGATATTTAACGAACGCAAATAATTTTTTTCCTAGCATCAATATTCTATAAATAAACGCTAAATATCAAACACAGTCAGAACACATATCTATACATATACATCTGAATATAACATACTTGATAGCGATACAAAATTATACTTAAGCTTATTAATAAATGTCGTTTAAATTAGATGACATAATTCGAATGTTTCATTTACGTATTAAGTTAAGACTAGGATATAGAGTAGAGAATATTGAGATTTGTTATAATGATGTTATAAAAACGCATATATATATCGCACTGACATTAATGTAAATTAAGATAAAGATAAAAACTTAAGGCAACGTTCAAGGCTATGCATGCATCTTGTTTTCTAGATATTGGCATGTAATCTGTATAATAAAAAATTGTTTTCTATTAATAGTATACTGTAAAATATATTACCAATGATGTAGTATTTTTAAAAAATGTCAGAGTAATACATTCACATATTAAATTCTTGATTTAATTGGTATTTTTTGATAAATTTATCTAATATTTTAAAAATTACATTACAAATATAAATATAAATGTAAATAAATATTATTATATTTATTTTATATATATAATAGTTATGTTTATGTGTATTTAATGTTAATAGAAGCATAACTATAATTGTGATTGTATAGAATAAGCAATTAAAGTTAAATATATAGCATTGAATATTATTCGCACACTAAGAAGAGATGTAAAAAGACATATGTACGTATATTAATCATTCAGTTTTCAGTGACTTAGCATATTCATTTATTATTTGTAGGTACAAAAACTGACAATCACATAAAATGAGATTTAAATTTTTAATTTGCTTTTACACATGTTGATAACTACTAATAAAAAATTTTAAGATTTTGAAACCTTATTCTACATATATACGTACATACAACTTTAGACAGAAGTCCATTCTTTTTAGTTGAATTTCTTGTGTACAGTCTATTTTTCTTTTTTTTTCTCCAATGTGAAGTAAAAAAAGAAAAATGAACTGTGCAAGTCATTCAACTAAAAAGAATTGATCTACAGATGTAAAATAATCTATTGTATGTACATTATTATGCTGTTTTATTTAATTATAATCAATATATTAAGTTTATAATGAATTAAATTACTCATACAGAATTAACAATTTTTCTTCTTTATTAGATTTTTTCTCAAAACACAATCTTTGTGATACGAAATAAGTGTGAAAAAAGTGTAGCGAAAGAATCAACGTCGCGGAAAAAGGATAGCAATGACGATCGATTCGATTTTAAATGTTTAAAGTTATTTATTTATTATTTACAAATGTAACAATTTGTACATTCTCTGTTTTCAGTAGCTGCATCATTTAATGTGATTTGATTTTACTTGCAGCGTTCTCTTTCCTGAATACAAATAGTTGGATGTAATTAAAATATACAAAGAAAATTAGAAAATGCCCACATGAATATATCGATACTAAAAGCGTAAATAAATCCGGATACCTTTCAGGAGGTTTTACAAATTGGTTGATAATAGAAAGAAGTAACACACCTGAAATAGATCCATAGAACGCGAGCAAAAGCCAAGACTTTTTATAATTTAACAAATCTGAGAGAACTATATTTTTCTTATATTGTTTTATTCTATTTTTCAATTTTGATTTATCTTTATTTAACAAGCTGTTTGTTCTATCATTATAAAATAGATCGGGCCACATCCAAAAAACGGAATAAAAATAAAAAATTATTGTGCCAATATAAGCAAGATACAGATTATCCTTTATAAATAATGGTAGCATACTAAAATGCGAGATGATCAAGAACCAAAAGCAAGGGAGAGGATCATTGTGAAAATGCAGTAAAACTGGAACAGCAACCAAGAGAATGGATTTTTCATGAACTTGAAATGAGAAAAGGAAGAATGCCAGAGCAGAGTTTATTAGAGACAGTATAAATGCATTCCTCATAGGTGATAAATATAAACTAATGCAACTCGGTAGAACTGCGCACGTTGTCATTATTAAACAGATCTTGGCTAATTGCTCGTTCGTGAAAATCTGTCGCAATTTGTAAAAAACATTGATTGCGCACCAAATATTAGCAACTTTGTCTTCAAACACGCCTCTGGAAAAAGGGAATAATCTGGACACCGTGCTGAAAAATAAATCTCTACTCTTTAGAAATGGCATCCAGATAACATAGAACATCAACAGCACTGCAAAGGATATGTATATCAGCATGCGAATACAGTGAGACCAAGATCTTGTTTTGTTAGGTGTGTGACATCCGAGTATATAGAAGAAAAATGGTAAAGCATGATACAGTTCCATTTGCTTGTAGTTCAGCGCTAGGACAAATAGAATTGAGCCAATAACAAATGAATCTTGCAGCACAACAGCTACAGCAGTGACAAAGAAACCTAGTGACACACAATTGTACTGAAAATGACCATGATCTATTAATATCAATCCTGGATAGATCAATGCTATCAAAATAGCAATGTCTCTCTTTGTAAATTTGAATATGTTAGACTCGCTAAATTGACGATTGTCCCAGGAATGTGAATTGATTATAAAATATATGATAGCCGGCAAATAAATAAAAATATCTGCAATTAAGACGGTCAGTCTCATGAAGTGCTTGTGCGCAGCATTCTCGAATCCTCTGGATTCTCGCAGCTTCACGAAGGAAGGATCTATTCTGTTCGCAACATGGCCTAACAGGAGACTGTGATATGCCGTTAAAGGTGGATAATCTAAACCCCAGTATTGTAGATCATTGTCTGTGGTATTAATATACCACTTGTTAAGAGGCAGATTCAATGTGATCTCCTGCCAGTGTCGTTGGGCTTCGTAATCTCCGTACATAGGGGGTTTGCTCTCTCCACTGTGAGAATGGTAAGTAATGCAGCATCTCAAGAGAATGGCAAAGGAGGTGATGAAAGCAAGCTGCAGCTTTCCCTGCATTCTCTGTCATACGAGTATCCTCGTTTGTCACTCCAAATAACTATATCTTCGAATCGAAACTAATTGGCAAGAATTTCGAGAGGAGGTTTCCTAGCAAAATGCCACGTCATGCACTTTTATTTCGTAAATAATGGAAAAAAAAACAAAGAAAGAGAAAAATCGATCTACATACCACATATGCAGCTTTTAATCCCTCGGTGACTTTGTCTTTAATGTACTCCTCGCTATATGGCATATCCAGTCGCAATGTTTCTCGGACAGGAAACACCTTCTGTTAAATAATATCCGGGTACTATCAAACTCAGGTATCTGTCGGCAAGGCTTATCAGTCCGATACTTCTTTTTTAGTCTGTTCCCATTCCACAAGAGCCACGTCTACAAGAATCACCTACAATAATGATTTCGATATCGATACATGGAACGATTTATTTTAGTATCGATTGTCGATATCTTGAGTTTATGCGCCATCTGTGTACGCTTTTTTCAACTTCTATTTGATAAAAGGAATTTTGCTGATTCTGCAGATTATTTGGTTCGTATTCTAGCTATTTCAATGCAAAAAAATTATTACTAATGAAATATTCAATTTATTTATTTAGATTTAACATTATACAAATATACTTTATATAATATTTATATTTACAATGCAGTATAATACTTTAATTGAAATTGCATTTTTTTTACAATCATCACTCATATAAATAAACAAGCACGAATAACAATAAGAAAAGTATAGTTTCAAAAATAAAAATTAATATTATCGACTCTTAAATATACGCACATGTTCAAGAAACGTCACGCGATATTCTTCTTATTTTATATTATTATATGAAACAATATTTTCAGTTTGAAAATAATATTTCTTTGATACGTAACTTCTCTCTTGACGAAAATATCTCCGTAGAATTCTAGATATTAACAATATTTATTAATATTTACAGAGTTGAGTAGTAACTAGTTAAAACATTAAAAGTTAAAAAAAAAGTTAAAAAGTTAATAATTTTTAACTTAACTTAATTAATTTTAAATGCATTAAATTTTAACTTAACTAAGTTACTTTTAAACATTAACTTTTTAACTTTTTTTTTTAAGTTAAACAATTTTTTTATCTCTTTTAAATATCTTAGAAAAATAATAAGATATAATAAGATTAAAAGGCGTATATTCGTAATCATCTGTTCATATTTTAAGACCATCTTAAGTAATTTCTTAAGATGCTAATATAGCCCTCTGATTGATTTAAGCGGTTCTGCCATAAGTCTTAGTCTATAATAGATGTTTTAAGCATTAAGTTATAAGAAATTGACTAATTACAGTCAAATATTCTTCTCACATTCGATTGTAATCAACTTTTTATGGCTTGAGGTTTATTAAAAAATAATCACTGATCTTGTATCTTCTCTATGCTGACAGTTTTTTTAAAGTTATATAACTTATATAATTATATCGTTATGTGTTATATACTTATATCACATATGAATAAAAAAATTAAAAATTTAATTTACTTAATAATCTATATTGTAGTTATTTAATCTTATTTTAAGAAAAATTAGGACATTTTGATTTAAAAAATAATTTTTTTCAAAACTTTTTTTTAACTTAAGTTAATTCAATATTGATTTAACTTACATTAAGTTAATTTTTTATTCCTTCAACTTTTAACTTAATTTTGTAAAGCCATTAACTTTAACTTTATTCAGTTAAAAAAAAAACATTAACTTACTCAACCCTGAATTATTCATAATATTGATATGTGTTAATATTTAAAATTGAAAGCTATAATAACTCCGGGTAATTCGACGCCACTGTGCGCAGCGCGTCTCCGCGCATACATTTGCGAAAAAAGGAGAGAGACAGCCAATCGGAGTGGCGGTCGGGAGCGCACACCTCCATCGACGGGCCAATCGGTGTCACGGAAACGCGGCGGCGACGGCGATGCGCTGGTCGGGGGAACGAGGCGCGTCGACGAAATTCCGATCGACACGGGCGCGTTATATTTAAGCTGTCTGCGGATCCGGTGGTCACGGTATCGTACGTAGTCGGAACGTGGTGTCCCCGGCGAACGAAAATCAATATTCCCGTCGCGTCGTGAGACAGAGAGCGGAGCGGCCGGTCGCCATTTGCCGTGCTATTACTCACGCTCTTCCAACAGTCCCAATTGTTCCCACCGTCGAGGAGCTCTCATCGGCTCTCACGTCGACGGTGTCACGACGACGGGATCGCTGCCGCCGTCATCCGGTCATCACCGGTCAGTCGCGCCGCGTCGCTTCGCTCTGCGATTCTCTTGCTGGACACGCACGCACGTCATCGAGCATCATCGAGTGCCGCTAGAAGGGATTAAGGGACGAAGCCTGAACATCAACCAGCAGCAGCGGCGGCAACGACAGAATCCTAATTTCCTGCACATCGAGGAAACCGACAATTTCGCCCGGGTATCCTCGTCCGGCTTTCTTATCGAGATTTCTGACTCGTTCTCGACAAGGTTTGATTTATTCCCAATATTGTCGTCAACGAGCCAATCATCCGTGCGATTTGTCACGACTCGTCCTCTTCGCCCTTCCTCCTTCCTGTATCCTTTCTTTCCCGTTTCGTAACGATCCCTTGGTTCAACCAAGCTAGCCTCGGTGAGAAAGTGATATTCCGTTTCGGTGACGCGGAAGCCGCCAGCCGCGTCGCCGACGGTCTCTCTCGCTCGCCAATAATTCACTCTTTCCTCCTTTCCTCTCATCGTCCCTCTCTAGTTCATCTTTCTTCGTTGCCGCGTGCCGAAAACGATGGCGTTTCTGAGGAGCGTGCCGCGGCGATGTTGCGCCGGTAAAAAGCTAGTCAAGTGCGGAGCTTCGCCGTTGGCTGTGATCGGCCTCCTGGAGAACGCCGCAGTAACGACAGCGGCGGCGGCGGCGGCGGCGGCGGCGGCGGCGGCGGTAGCAACAACGACAGCGGTTACTAGGACACCATCGTTGCGGTTGGTTGCACAGGTGCGTGGCTATACCACCTCGTCCTCCTCCGCCGCCGCCAATGATGTTAACAAGCAACGACAGCAGCCACCATCGCCGATGCCTCGGCAGATCGACCCGCTTGATTTGAAGTTTAACGACCCGATCGCCGCTTTTAAAAGCAAGACGACTATGGAGTTGATGCGCGCCTATTTTGTCTATCAGATGTGCAGCATCGAATACGTCGTGGAGAACAATATGAAGGTGAGAAAAAAATCACTTGTTTCGCTTGTGTAAATTAGCTTGTTTAGATTTAAGGATCATCATTTATATTGGCGTAAATTGTTAATTAACTGTAAATTGATTGTTCACAATTAAATGTGAGGAGAATAATCGACTTTATTCTCCTCGCATTCGACTGTGATCGATCAATTTCTTATAGCTTGCATTCTTACAGCATAAGTTAACAGTTTACAGTCAGTATAAATGATCCTGTAGGTTTATTGCTACCTCCTCTCTCTCTTCTCTCTTGTCTACACACAGAAAAGTATATGTTTCAAGTAATTATTACTTGTGTACAATACGTACTTTTCTGTTTCAAAAGTATCTATGTATTTTAAAAGTTTATATATCCGCAAATCTATAAGTTCCCACCAGCATCAAATTTATTTAAAATATTATATTCCTGAATCCTAGTAAGTTTAATATTTTTAATCAAAATTATTAAATTAATGCAAATTTGATTTGCTTATTATATAAAGTCGTTACTTTCATTTTTTATAATATTCTTTTATAATATTCTTCAAAAGAAAATAAATTTTTATTTTAAGTATATAATGAGTTTTTTTTAATTTGTAGTAAATATTAAATATATTTGTAATAAATATTTTAAGATTATTATCAAGAAAATGTTCTCCATTAAGATAATAATTATTTAAAAGGAAGAAAATAAATTAAGTAATCACTTTTTTTTAACACTAAAATGATATTTTTCTATGCGTATAACAGGTGTAGTAAGCCTTTAGCTTTTGCTCTAAACTATAATTTTATTTTATTCTAGCAAAAAGATTTTTTTCTAGCAAGAAACTTTTAAACTTTAAGTGATATATCAAAAATAATGTCAAAATAAATCTTTATTAACTGAAAAGAAAAATTAGAAATTGCTATATTGACATCCTTGACAATTCAGTAAGATCGCCGGTATTTTATTGTTGAAACGTATCACAATGCGACTGAAGTTGTTTTCCTTTATTCAGTGAAAAGAAATGATAATCTTCACAGAAAGGAATAGTGAAACGCTATTTCAAAGATAATTACCTGACAATGTAACTTTTTAGTTGTAACTAACTTTTTTCTCTTCCTGTTCTTTCTTAAATATTTGAGAGCTTTCTAATAAAGTAATTTGTCAAAGATGCTTTTTAAAAATTTTCAGGGTTGCTGAATTTCTGGTTTTCTCAAAATTCTAAAATTCAAATTTAAAAAAAAATCTAATTACTGTGATTATCTTGGTTTTAAATTTTTTGTAATCTCTAAGTTTGAATATAGTATGAAAATATCGAATTTGAAAGGATAATAGCCTCTATAAACAAGGACAAGAATGTTCATAATTAAATTTTAAAAGTCAATTTGAAAATCAGTATTGACTGTTTACGTAGCATGATGAGTTTCAAATAAAGCGGAACTAGAAATTTGATCCAATACTTCGCAATTTAAAACTCTCTAAAACCCAATTTTATGATAATCAAATAATATTTTTTTTGAAATTCTGTCCACTATATTCAATTCACCATTAAAAATTTTTTATTTTTGATTCAAAAACATTATCAAATATCTCACAAGCCACGTTTTATAAAAATTGAGCGATCAGTTTATAAAATAAAAAAGGATCCACAAAGAATTAATAAAATATTTATCGTATTTTTTGTTAAATACAAAAATTTTATTTGTTTTATTCCACTTATAAAGTAAAAGTCATTTTAAAATCATTTATACATAATCATCATTCATACATAAAACGAAAAGCGACGTGGAATTCCCAGGTGACAATCGATTTAGGAATAGCCAGAATCTTTTTTGTGATAAATCTAACGTAATAAGTTTCAATAAGATAATTGAGCAGCAATGTTTCTTCCGTAGTGATTAACACATTGACGGCACACACTTGTCGCAGGTGTATCTCTATATACATGTCTAACAAAGTGCAAATTCTATTTATTAAAATATTTAATCAGCGATCCAATTAATTTTCATAACTCCCAAGGAAGTCTGTATCGTAACACATGTCATGCACAGCTTGAAGAAAAAGCATACGAAATAATTATATTACCGATGGTTTTATCTTATAATCAATTATCATGTCGCTCACTAATATGACACGTGTTAATTACTCAAGCTTTTAATGAATGGCGTCACATATCCTGTGCATATGTGACGTTATTGGGACATAATCGTCGTGAGGTAAACAGTGACGGTAAACAGCGACGATATAAATTAGCATTAATCTTGGATAACGTTAATGTTGATAAAAATCATGTTTTAAACATGTTTTAAACTATTTAAAACATGCTTAATCGATGTTAACATGTTCTTTTTTATAATGTTTAAAGCATGTAAGCGTTAAAAACACACAATATTTTGTTCTTAAACAAAATATTATCCTTCGCTACATAATTAATATGTCTCATCTGATCTATATTAGATTTCCATTTAGTGACGACACAAATCGACACAAGTGTCATTTTATTTTTCTTGATATTTACCAATGTTAAAGATCAAGATTAACTTTAATCTCGATTCTCAATTTACTCTTCATCTTTTTCTAATTTTTATAACTAGAAAAAGAAGAAGAGTTAGCTAAGTTAAGATTAAAATTAAACTACATTGGTAGTTACGGGCAATTAGTGAGTAATAAAGATGGACATGTGTGTTGACTTGTATCATCGAATAGAAAATCTATTACGAGTTATCTCTAGAAGGATGCCGCTCTAGCGTGGTCCCGTGATCTGAAAAGCAGGTCAGGGGTTGACGCTCTGAAGTTGATCATGAGATCGAATCAGAAACTCTGATATATCGGAACGGGCGCAACAATTCCCGCAGGAATCACTCGCAACGTCGTTCGCGACGGATTCTGGATCACGTTTCGCTTTTGTGCGATAGATCGTTTCGAGCTTTCCAGAAGAAGGCGTTCAAATATCTATTACCGTCTTCCTAATCGCGTTCCTCAATTCTGCCTGGCCAGCCGATCGATAAATCATTCAATCGCGATCGACTAATCGCGATAACCATGATCTTGAACATGACTGCAAATAATGCTGCGGGAAATCTTTGAAGAGATAAGAAAAAATATTTATTTTTTACTTATAATCTCCATTCGCAGCTAAAGTCTTCGATGCAACTTACGTAACATTTACGTGATTTTCTATTAAGCCGCCCCATTATGGTACGACGTGACGTTATTGATTCACTATTCACTGATTGCCGGACAACATCGGATCGACCTAGGAATTTTGCTGCAAACCATCGCCGCTGTCGAGCAATTACATAACCGCCGCGTCTAAGGATAGATGTGTAGTACGCTCTGGCACGCGGAATTCAATCGTGATTTCCTTAATTCGTTCAAAGAATCACCGCTTTCGTTGATGTGTGCATTATTATGATAATACAGTAATTTCTACGCATATATGCACTAATAATTAATGATTTTGCTAAATTTGAACTGTTGTCTAAATTGCGATTGGTGCAATTATAATTGTTAACAAAACACTTATTGGTATTCTTGTAGATTTACTAATTGAGTAAAATTGCTTGTTCGTTGTTGAAATGGAAAACATCTTTTGTCTCTTATTCGCAAGATTATGTGTCGCATATTAAAAATATTAACTTATTTTATTCCTTATGAAGTAAAAATCGACACTATTTTGAATGCACAAGCGTGAATGACAAATATCGTCCTGACGTTTATTTTAATTAGAGTTTGCAAATTATACGTCGTTTTACAATATGCTGTATGTTGATCTGTTTTGCTGTTTTGCCATTTGAATAACGATTGTCACAGAGAATTTCAAAAAGAGTTTTAAAAAACTGTTTCTAATTCATACAAATATTTTCGCAAGAAACTTCTAAATAAAAAAAACGAAGAATATCATTTAGATATTCTCGTATTAGTCTTGGGCACATTCATTATTTGCGCATTCATTATACGTAATTGTAAAGAAAATTGCATAACTAATTAAGTATTTTATTGCGCTAAAAGTAGTTAAGAATGTATTGCACATATTTTCAAATGAAAAAGTTATTAAAAATACAGATTGTTCTAGATCGCATTTAAAAATAATACAGAAAATTTTTAGCGACGATTCACTATTTAGAAAAATTAATAAGAAGTCAATAAGAAATAGTATTTTTTAAATTTATGTTCTAATGTAAATGTATGGGAATGTATTATAAAATAATTATAAAAATCTCAATTTTTAATATAAATGCTTTAAATATTTGAAATGATTTATGTAAAATTACATTGCGATAACATACAAAGAATTGATTGTTCTGTAAATGAACACACTATTTATTTCTTTTAAATCTTTGTAATCTCTGAATCGCATCGAATTGCGATTTTTTTTTTCTTTACATAAATAAGTTTGAATTATTCTTAAAGTACTTACCTATACAAAAAAAAATTTTTTGTCATTGTTTTTTCTTTTTTAATTTTAATTTAATTTATAAGAATGAAAATAACAAATAAAGTAAAAAAAGACGTGTTACTAAAGAAAAATAAGTTGTAACAAACACAATTTATATATATTTATATTTATGAGCATAATTTATGAACATAATTTATTATAGCATAAATATTAACACATTTGTAATAAAAATAGGTATAATACATTTTTAAGCTGTAAGAATACGACGATCATTGTCAAATGCTTTGCGAGAAACGTAACGTGATTCAAATCAATGCGTTTCCAAATCTTCTTTTTTAGGGACAAATGATCGGCATCGTATTATAGCTTTTTCACGTTGCGTATATGGGATTCATCTTAGTGTCGCGAACGCTACGAAATATAAGTGCCTATCTAACTGTCGAACTTTACATAATGTAAAATTCGTTACGTCTGCTGACCGCACGCAATCGCTGCTCACTGTAAATTATCCTGCCGGATATAAAATGTTGCGCTGTTTGGTTAGCATCTTGGTCATTTGATGCATAATTCAGCGGCGCGACGCTAATTGTAAAACATTGCATTTTTACGATATTGGTCAAACGA